GAAAAGACTCAATGATTACTAGAGTTCTAAATGAAAAAAATTAATATTTTCACGACTGAATTTTTTTTATTTCAACAGTTTTCTATCCGATTCCAAAATTACCTCATCAATTCATAATGATTGAATTTTATTTTTGTCATAAATGAACGACAGACAGATATGGCTTCAAATTAGGGTTCTGAAAATGTCTGAATCTACATCAGGCAAGATTTTTCTCAATCAGAATTTTTTCAGATTGGTGGCATATGGAATTGTTTACATTTGTACCCTATTTGGAAATATATAAAAAAATTTGAGAAAGTATAAATTGGAGAATTTATTTTAATGAAATATTGAGTTCAACCAAACTACTTCTTGATTTTAAAACAACACCAGAACTGCAATACTGTTTTCGACTCGTGTTCCACCAACTGATTCGGCGTCTCCACAAGATGCAGTAAACATTTCACATTTGTCAGTTCTTTGGAAAATAAAGTGATTTGTTGGATAGTCATGTCAAATTAGACTAAAAAATAAGAGTAAAGCTACCTAAATTCCCATCAAACTGAAAGTCAGTAAGATTGTTTAAAATAAGATTAAAATGAAAATTTGAAAGTTTCCCATCTCTCCCCTGTATGGAAAAAAATTTATTCAAGGTCAAAGGTCAAAAAAATTAGTTTTTCGCGATTTTCAGCAAAACAGTGAGTTTTATCATAAAAATACTCCAGACAAAAATTGTGGATCATGAAATTATCTACAAAAAATTAACGAATTCTTGGGTAACATACGAGCAAAAATAAAATTCCAGCGAAATTATAATATATGCAGTGAGTAGGTAATCTCTCGTTTTTGTTGAAATTGAAATGAAAACGAAAGTAAATGGTTCATATTTAATATTAAAACAGTTTCTGGAAATACATATCAACTAACTGTTGGGTAATAAAGGCTATCGTTATTATATTTTTTTTTTCACCGTAGTGTGCGCTGGTCAGGCTGAAATCCTGGTTCAACAGGACATTATAGAATAGTACAAGGACTGAAAAGTCACGGGCCTAACATATAGATGACGCTAGTCTTATTGCTTTCATCGCTTTTTCAGTTAGTACTAACCTTCTGAGGAAAGCTGTCAAAATTTCATGATACTCTACTCATTAATTTGTGGGTTAGGAGTGAGACTAGTTTTGTTATTTTCGAAACAATGGATCAATACCAATTTCGTGTTTTAACTTCACACTGCTTCTTCATGGCAAAAAATAGCGTTTCAGTGAAGCAATGGCTCGAAGACTGTTATGAGGACTCCATCAGAAACAACAATCAAACGTTGATTTGCTGACTTCAAACGTGGTCGTAAAAACACCGATGATGCAGAACGCAGTGCACGTCCAAATGAGGCAGCAACACTAGAAAACATACAAAAACCACAAAATCGTTTTGAATGGTCAACAAGTGAAGTTACGTGAGTAAGCTGACATTATGAAGATATCAAAAGATAATGTTCGCTTTATATTGCATGAGAATTCGACTATGAGAAAGCTCTGTTCAAAGTGGATCCCGCGCGAGCTCACTGTTGACCGAAAACAAGAACGTCTTGATGATTCTGAGCAGTGTTTGGCCATGTTTAAGCATAAAAAACGGAATTTTTGCATCGATATGTGACACTTGACAATTAATGAAACATGGATCCATCACTCCACTTCGGAATCAAAACGATTGTCATCTGAGTGGAGAGCAACAATCGGCTGGAAATTGCTCCCACATCCACGGTATTCATCAGATTTGGCTCCCAACGACTACTGACAGTTGGCAGACCTGAAAATGGTCACTGGTAAGAAAGAGGTTATTGTTGAAATTGAGGCCTATTTTGGGGCAAAAGATAAATCATTTTACAAAAGTGGTATTGAAATGTTAGAGACGAGCCGGATTGATGTGTGGCTCTTGGTGGATTGATTGTGTGGCTCTTGGTGGAGGCAACGTTGATGAATAAATCCAATTCTGAACAAAAAATAGGGGAAAGTGGGGTTATTGCGAACACCTAAGGAAAAACTCAAATTAAACAAAACCAGTTAAGGTTATGAATGATATTCATTACTAAAAGTTGACTATAACTAATCAATCTTATGTTCTCATAATCAACGTAGATAAATGTTCCATATAAAATAAAATATTAAAACAAAAACAAAACATTGGAGTCCGGGATTACCCCACAACACGTGGGGTAATTGCGGATGGACTATTGGGTAGTTACAAACATAGTCTAATCACAACAGAAATCACAAACGAAGCCTCGTAATGTACTTTCACCACTCGTACAGTTTTCGTGGGTCCATAAATTACATTTGTAGCATCTTATCCAGTCTTCATCAGGTGGATCTTCATAATTTTCATCACAGATCAGGCAATAATACTCGTTTTCCATCCCATCTCCTTCATTGGCCTTTTTCTACTTGCACTGTATGTCCTTTTCTTGAAACTTTGTATGAATGCTATCATCGGAAAATAATTTAAGATTCTTCACTCCNCACACTTTCATTCCAGAACCGCTCTAACATTTCAATACCATTTCAGAAGAACGATTCATCTTTTGCCACAAAATAGGCCTCAGTTTCAGCAATTCACCTCTTCATTTGAGCGAAATGTCTTACCGTTCAGCATTTTTCTGAGGTCAGCGAACAGCCACTAGTCGCTGGGAGCCGAATCTGGTGAATACGGTGGATGTGGGAGCAAGTTCGATTCATGTAGTTTTGCCATTGCTTTGATTCACTTATGACGCAGTTCCTTGTCTTGATGAAAATGTTTTCTTTGCGTTTACGGTTCACCTTATCATATTATTTTTGAAATCATTATTATTTTTTGTTTTATTACCTTTCCAAAATGCAAAGGTTGAGTGAGGAAGTTTTCACTTTTATTTTTTGGGTATTAATTTTTCCCCTGTAACTAAACGGGATTCTTTCACCGCGCAAATGCAGTTGGGGAAAACTCAGACATGCGCGGGAGAGGAATAAGGCCATCTTCGCTCAGTAAAGTATTTTTTCCGCATTTTTGTGATTAATCTATTTGCTATATGTGTAAAAATCGAAACTCTAAGAGTGTTGTGCAGCTGAAGAATGCAAATTCGAAGCCTTGTGAACATCCTATCCGTCGACAGAACAACAGGTGAGTGGACCCAACTGTTCGACGTCATTTTGCATTGATTGGGAGCTATCTCCCTGGTCCTTTAATTATCTATTCTTATTATTCTTATATTTGAATAAACCAGCGCCTAACAAATAAAGACTTCACACGCTCTAATAACGCTATAAAATATCCACTGTTGATGGTATTTCCCTTCTCAAGATGGTCAACCGATATCCACGCACATCCCATTATACCGAGGTCATAACCTTTCCTGCCAATTGTTGTGCTTTAGGGCGCTTTGTACGATATTCACCAGTTGCTCTCCACCCAGATGACGATCGTTTTGATTCCTTGGTAATGCGATGGATCCATATTTCATCCATTGTCACATATCGACACAAACATTTCAGTTTTTTATGTTTAAACATGATCAAACACTGCTCAGAATCATAAAGACGTTTATGTTTTTGGTCAACAGTGAGCTCGCGCGGCACCCAATTTGAACAGAGCTTTCTGCTAGTCAAATGCTTATGAAATATAAGGCCGACACGTTCCTTTGATATCTTTACAATGCCAACTATATGGTGTTACTGCCTCATTTGGACGTCAACTGCGTTCTGCATCATCGGTGTATATACAATAGTGACACTGAAAACTTCGACCGCGAAACCATTTTGTGTGTATAATATAATCAACAAAATTTATATAAATAATATAACTTTATATAAATACATAATATGAACTTAACAAAGAGGAATTCTTCAATTTCCATCATGAATGTATTTTAACAGTTCGCTCTTGAAAATATTTAATGATAGAGTAGATTTAATTGAATCAGGTAAATCATTGAATCGGACAAAACCTTCAAAAAATAAACTCCTCATACTATTTCTCGTATTTGTTCNAAATCAAAACTCAATCAATCAATCAAAACTCAACCAAAACGGGAGATCTACTACAAAAAAATATTAATTTTTTCATCTGCAGTCGATTGATTCACATTATTTCGCAATCTAATTGCATTACGATCTAGATGTAGTAGATACAATATTCTCGCTCTTGGCACTGTTGAAAACACTAGGATGGATATTGATTTGATGTCTGTTTCTATCACAACAATTATTCATGTGCGCACAATCACAAATGCCGTAACCTCAATTGTCTTTGCACTTACCATGACAAATGTCTTAACATAATAAACCAAACGTCATCAATTTGTTCAATCTCTCTCCTAATTTTCCAAATGCTTCAACAGTTATTTTTTGCTAATCCAGTTGGAGAAAATGTAGTAAACCAAAGAGCATGAAAATCGGTTCTACCGTTATTGAGTTATGAATTGTGTAACCAATACGATTTTGAAAATTGTAGATTTCGTAACGCAATGCAAGGCGTTAGTGCAAGCAATAACGCGAAGGAAAATGTTCCGTTAACCAGATTATAAACAACATTGGTCCCGAAACCGACCCTTGCGGCACTCGGTAATTGACTTTCTGCAAATCAGATTTCTTTAAATTACTTTACACCGCTTGTTGACTGTTCGAAGATATGACGTTAGGACTCGGAAAAAATCAAATAAATAGTCGAAGAATTGCAAATGAATGGTGAGAAGTGACTTTCATCAATTATTGCTGGTAGGAAGCCTATAATGAAATCAGTTCTTTATGAAACGTGAGACAGATTCAATATTTACCTTCAGTTTTTCTCAGTTTTCTATTCAGTCAATTTTGCAATAAACTCTTGAGTAGATCCACTTACTTTGGACCTCAGCTATTTTTTTATTTCTTGCATCCCAATGAGCTCAAAAAATGTTAAGTTTGTCAATTGGAATTATTTTGTATCTCTAATGAAAATAAACTATACCGTTACAAACTCATTCGAAGCTGTCTGTTTTAAATAAAACCTCTGGAGCACTACAAAACTTTTATTCAGCTTCGGAACAATTATTGAACAATTTGAAACAATGTTGAAATACAATAGGAAAATCACATTAAAATTACAAGTCACATTTTTTTAATAAATAATCTACACCTAATCGAATTCAAAGTAATACATAACCGTAACAAGTTCAACAAACAGCAACAAAATCTTTTGTTTCATAATTACGTTTAAAATTGGAAATAGTTTTCGCATATCACAACCTTCGGTGTGGGGAAGGTCGATTCAGCATTATTTTGGGCCAAAGATTGGTCTTCACAGACTATAGCCTCATGGTGGATAGTATCGACAGAATTATCTTCCAGAATTATGTTGCTTGAATCAGCTTCTGAAAACCAGATATATAATGGAAGAATAAGTATCCTGTGAAGCGCAATATTTCATAGAGTGTCTTTAATGGATATTTTATATTTCCCACAAGGATTACTCAGGTAAGATTCAGCAAGTTGTTGATAATCTTTGCAGAGAATTGTAAATTTGTAGAGAGTATCCTATAATTTTACCTATCATTTAGCAAGTTATAAAGTTCACTTTGATCTGACACTTTGTTGAGACACATATTAACAAACTTCATCCTCACAGTCAAAGCACATGCCGCATCAGCAAACGAAACGTTTGATTCCATTCGATCACGGTTCACCAGCAAGGTTTCCGTTCTCTTCAATCGTGACTCTAGCTGTGTGGCAGAAATCATCAGTGGTATATGCTTTGACTGTGAGGACGAAGGTAATATTTCGAAGTCTCAACAACGATTGACTTGCGAGCCGATTGACGTTTTGATTTGAATCAGGATGAGCCTAGCTCGTCATCAGGACAAACAAGCCACAACCAATTGTGTGATTGGGTGAGAAAATGATTCATCCGCTAACAAAGGATATGAGGCCCTCATTCGACTGAGTGTCGGGACCTTCCATATTATCGTGACTTTCCGCACAACCGAGAACTCGCCGATTCTTCGACTGAATGGACTACTGAATGGAATGCAACTGTAAATCACTGCGGATGGCTTCGTTCCGCACAAACCATAGAGCCATCACTATCATCCGTAGTAACATACATACATGATGACAGGCTTGAACATCGTATTATAGATCATAATCTTGTTTTTAACACTTAACTTTGTTTTTCTATTGATCAGCGGGTACAGATTTGCGATCCGTCCCTCGATCCTGGACTTAATGTTTTCGAAGTGCGGGCTCCAGATGAGCCTATGGTCTATTAGAAGGCCAAGTACTCTACCCGCTCTTGCCCGTCGATCTCTTCTCCAGAGAACCTCACTTTCATGGCCAGAAAATATGTCGTTTTTCCCATGGTTATTGCCCAAATTTTGTTCGGGTTCACTCGGATCTTCCAATTGAGGTACCAGCGCTCGAGGTCATTCGATGCACGTTACATATAGCCTATCTCGAGCTCATGACCCATGGAAGAGGAGAGCCGTATCGTGGACGTATAGGCATACCTTCACACGCTCGGACCTCGGAAGGTCGTTGGTGTAGAGGGAGTAGAGGAACTTTCTGTAGTCAGACAGGAAACCCTCTATTCTGACCTGACAGGCTCTGCCATTCAGAAAGAAACAGTTCCATCGGACCAGGCCCCGAGGCAGGCCGAACTCAAAGAGCTTATGCAGAAGGTCTTTGTGTCATACACGGTCGAATAACCTACGAGTTCCGTGTTCATTCATATTTAACATTTCAGGGAGGGTTGAGCTGATGGTGGGTATGATGGTGAGGGTGATAGTCGAGAATTCTTTCCATGATAACCTGGATGCTAGAAAGAATGGAGTTGATATGGCGTTGATAATGCTTGTTCCTCGAGGCACCAAATAACAAAAGTGCAACCTACCTGTTTTTTAGACTATATGGATTCTTACACATTTTACCCGATTATACTCGGTATAGTCGAGGTATTATAATATTTAATTTTTCCACTTTTGATGTTATATTGTTTTCGAAGAAATCTTAACGCGAAGAAAACCTTTTGTCCATTTCAACGTGTAAATTATAACATACCAATGATTTAAATTCTTACTTCCACAGATCTGGGATTCCTCTGAGCAGTCTGAAGTAGTCTGACTCTGTCAAAATTTTGACAGATATTCAAATTCCATATTGATCGTTCATATTGTTTTTATCCGTTTCACGGTTAGACAGACAAACTGATGAGAAGTATTCTTCTTCTTTTATTCAGTGATGGTGAATAACGTGAAGTGAGAATATAGTGATATATGTATATGCATATGATATATGCATATGATATATGTATAGTGATATTCACCTATGTTCGCGAGGATGTCATACTTAGAATCGGTAGGCGCCCTCTGTGTATATGTTTGAAGGGACTGATTGAACAGGTTGTAGCATTGCCCGGGTTCTGAATTAAAACCGATTCTACGTAAAGACTAAAATTTTGGAAGGATATTTTCTGTGTCTGGCTTTACACGAAGAGCCAGTGGTGATTTAATTAGAGATTTTGATAATCACCAAGCGGAAAATATTCCAACTTTGAGAAGTTCTGTCAGGTAAATTGGAAAAAGAAATTATTTTTTCATTATTATCCATTGTTTTATTGGAGTACCCCCTGTAGAATTGCTAATGAGGTAATTTACAATATTTCTGTGATTTATTGTAGATGACATCCAAATGAGACCAGTTGATTTGGAGACCCTTTTTCAATACTTGTGATTGAAGTCAAACCACGACCTTGCCTCCTCAAACTCAAGAGCTAATCATTTCCATCTGGAAATAACACTATTTCCCTACTAAAATTAGGAAAGAAGAAGAGTACGTCATATAAATATACAACTCACCCTTCAGAGCTTCAGCTAAATCTTTTTGCCCCATCCTTCGACCATGCTCGTCCAAAAATTCGATATTGACATCTCCCATGATTCCCGCTGCTTCAAATTCACCTGACAGAGAAATATCTTCCAAGTGCACCTCATTATCTGTAATTGGGAGAATGTGAAACAACCATTGATATACTCGAAACAAAGAAAAGAAAATACTCATTGAACGATCTATCATTTCACCAATCCTTAGTTGTATATAGCTTCAGTTCGAGCTCAACAGATGAAATTGGGAAATAATTACGATGAAAAGTTCCATACAATACTATCCACTATAATGAAAAACGGATTTTGATTTTTTTGTGGGTAGTGAAAAATGATATACTGATTAAAAGTTGACAAAATCCTATCTTCTGTGAATAACAAGTGAAGAATGAATATCTGCAGAGTCGAGGATAAAAAGACATAATCAAGTTATTTTAATAACAATTTTTTGTGATATTTTCACTCAACTGCTCATAATATCGCGAATTTCACTGAATTATAATACCTTCTTCAGCTTCAATTCAGAACTCACTTGATTTCTAGATTCATACAGTACTAGCAATCTGCCCCGGCTTCGCACGGATGCAATGCTGATACTAAATATACATATAAAAGCATGCGTTCGCTGCTAATCATAAAGTAGTATAGGGCGCGATATTTGTAGGCACGTGCCATCAGCCCCCCGGCCGGGACCGCCGCAATCGTTATGTCCCTGCATTTTAAATGCATAATATCTTCGAAAATATTCATTTAAATCACATGCTGCAAAAGAGCCATATTGATCTATGATGAACAATGTATTCGATGTATTTACCTGGATAAGGATTAATGCTGTATTGCTTACAAAAAAGATAAAAAATGGTTATTGTGGGTTATCCCTTTGTAGACCTTTTTAAGTTGTACAATAATGTAGTACATTTTTTGACCTATCTCGTAGGGTTCAGCTAGCGTTTGCAATGTAAGCCAAAAAAAATTACATCACATCAGAAACTTCTGAAATTTATTAGTGTTTCTCTACAGTATTATGCATGTTATACAGGGTGTTTCAAATTCGATCGTCACCATTGTTTGAATCGGGGCAAAGTTGCGCATTTACCTGACTAACAATATGCCGTTGAGAAAGTTCTGAAATTCTGAGTATATCCAGAGATATCCGAAAAAAACAGAAATTTAGGAAAATGAATTTTATTTTTTTCTAGCTTTATTTTTTGAAGGATTCGAATATAAATTGCATTTCCACATTGCCACTTTTTCCCTGCTACATAATAGTGCTACTATTTACTATCCGACGTTTCGTCTTCTGGCCAACATCATCAACTATATTTTTTCTCATGGGCGCTACATTGGATTCTTTCTGTTTTGAATAGAACCAGATTTTACCTCTTCAATGATGTATTATAAGTTACCATTATTATTATAATAGGCTTTGACTTTGATATTTCTAAATTTTACTTTCAATTCACTACACTCAATGACATTTTGTTATTGTACAAGTCATTGAATTTTTAGCGAAAAATGACTTTCATGAATGAAGAAAAAAAAGATAAGATACAAATGTATTACAAATGCGATAGAAACGGTATTAGGACATCGGAAATGTATTTAAACTTGTATCCCGAAAGACGACAATCATCTCGAACTATGTTCAAGTTATTTTATCAAAATCTCACCGAGTTTGGTTATTTGAAAAACCGAGAAAATATATTTCCAATTTTTCGAAAAAGAATGATAGCTTATGATACACCATTGAAAAGTTAAAATCGGGTTCTATTCAAAACCAAAAGAATCCAATGTAGCGCCCATGAGAAACAATAAAGTGGGTGATGGTGGCCGGAAGACGAAACGTCGGATAGCAAATCTGAAAACACCATTATGTAGCAGGGAAAAAGTGGCAACGTGAAAGTGCAATTTATTTTGCGAATCTTTCGAAAAATAAGGTCAGAAAAACTAACAACCGTTTACCGGAATTTCTGTTTTTTCCGGATATCTTCGGATATACTCGGAATTTCAGAACTTTGTTAACGGCATATTGTTATTCGGGTGAATGTGCAACTTTACCCCAATTCAACCATCTTCGTATTTCTCATATAGTTTCCGAGATCCCAATGGTGAGGATTGAATTTGATACACCCTGTATGGTAAACTTTTGTATCATCAAATTTACGAAAAAAAAACTACGAAAACTTCTGAAAACACTAAAACCCGAAATACAATCACCAGTTAACAAATTATTCCATTAGTATTGAGACTGTAATTATTATTGAATTTTGTTTCTGTCAAATGCAAAAATTCACTAAATTGATTTTGTTCCACTCAATCATCAGGAAACTATTGATTAGCAAACACGTCTGCTAGTTTTGCCAACATATCACAATGAGAATAATTGTGATGAACGATATTAGAGAATTTTGAAGTCCATATTCAAATGTTGAATTTGTTCATGGAAAACGTTGAATATTCTGAAAAATGATTTTGACAATGAAATTTGAAAAACCTCTCACTTCCTCTTTTTCTGAAAACTGGTAAAGCAATAAGTTATTGAATTAGGATTCTTGTTACACTCACTTGTCACAGAATCGTGATTGGTCGGCATGGAACTATAAACGAAATTACCCATATTAGAATCGATTTCCCCACTGGGACCAGGACTAACAATGGACATTGACATATGCCCCCCCAAATCGTTCTGCTGAACCACGGTCGCCACTACAGGTATCTTGATTTGGACAGTGCTGCCAACAGGTTTCCCTGCAATTTTGTCTAAAAATCATCAAGAGTTCATATGACCGAGAGAAACAAAAAATATAATAAAAATAACAAGAGAAATGTTATGAATGGGCAAATATGATCCTGTTGGTAACGATAATGGCTGAAAATTACAACCATTAGTATATTATTATCCGTTTGTTTTTTCAATTTGAATTCTCAAAGTTTCATTGAAATAATAAAGAATAACCATTTTTCGTTGGTAATACAATTTATGGAATTATGAAACAACGACAAAAATTAATCGGCGCTCCGGTGCGACTGGATTGATTCCATTTGCTTTTTAGGCTGCAGGAAAACCCGGAAAAACCTACAGCACCTCATTATCTGAAGATCTTGATCTGCCAATGTTCATAGAATGAAATGTAGGTTGTCTCTAGAGGCTCCAATAAATTCAAGATATCGCCAGAATATTTAGTGACACGAATATCATAAAACTTAAACCTCTCCGTTTCATCTTTGACCAATGCATAATAATGTGACCAGATTCAATGCCAGAACTACAGTGAACAATTACTGCAGAAACATTATAATAGTGGTCTGCTAGATTGAAGTGTTCATCTATTTCGATCCTTCGTTAGGAGTTCAGTGCTTCCAACAGAGGTTGAATCTTGTTTAAAGATCGTTAGTGTTATTATTAGATTGACTGGTGCCTCAGCTATACTTGTTGTCTTATAATAGTCAGCTACTTTGGCGCATACTTGACAATACAGTTGATACTTATGATGCACTCTTTGGAACCTTTGGTGTAGTAATGAATATTACTGGAGTTTTTCCCAACACCAAATCGTTATTTTCAACACCTTGACACGTGTTTTGATCACCAAGTGATCAATTTCAAGAGGAAGATTGAACTGGAAACTTTCACGAAGCTAACGCTATTTATGCTATACAGATATACCATACATGTAAACCCTACAGGTCTACCACACATACAGGTATACCACACTTAAATCAATTTTACAATTTGCTTCATCTATTATTTTACAATATGTCCTTATGTAATGTTTAAGTGTTATAGCTATATATAAAACAATTTTCAGGTATATAACAAATTAATTTCACAATATTGCCTATCTAAATTTATTTTTACAATGTGTCCTCATGTAGTAATCAGTAAATCCGATAATATTATTTTATTCAAACAATATATTACAAAATAATTGTAAAATAATAAATAAGGCAAATCGTAAAATTAATTCAGGTGTGGTATACCTGTATGGTATATCTGTAAAGCATAAATAGCGTTAGCTTCTTCGTGAAAGTTTCCAGTTTAATCTTCCTCTTTGAAGATGATCACTTGGTGATCGAAACACGTGTCGAGGTGTTAAAAATAATGATTTGGTGTTGAGAAAAACTCCAGTAATATTCAATACCAGTTCATCTCCCGTTAAAAGTTCTACTTTCAGATGATTTAACAATAAGCTTTGCATGGACTGGTTATCAGTCGTAGTAGGATACAATTTCAGCTGTATATATGAATAAAAAAGTTATGTTCAAATTATCATATTAACATCATAAACACCTGGATCTAAGAAAGAAAACGCATTTTTCTTGTGTTGAAATCGGCTTTAATCATCAACGTAATCTGTATCAAGAGCCAAACAATCATTCCAGCGCCGCTCTTATATTTCAATACTACTTTTGTAGAACGATTTATCTTTTGCCCCAAAATAGGCCTCATGTTCAGCAATAATCTCTTCATTACAGCGAATTTTTGTATCTTTGAGCATTTTTTTGAAGTCTGCAAACAGTTTGTTGTCGCTGGGAGCCAAATCTGGCGAGTATGGTATATGCAGGAGCAATTCGAAGCCTATATCAAGCAATTTTGCCATCGTTTTCATTTATTCGTGACACTTTGCATTATCTTGAAGCAGTACTTTCACTCTTGTTCGCTCGTGCTTGCTTTTTTGGTAAATACGCACCTTAAAGCTCACACGTTCTTTTGATATCTTTACAACGTCAGCTAACTCAAGGAACTTCACCTTTCTATCATTCAACACGATTTTGTGGATCATTTTTGGTGTTACTGTCTCATTTGGACGTCCACTGCGTTCTGCATCATCGGTATTTCCACAATCACGCTTGAAATCAGCAAAACCAACGTTTGATTGTTTTTCTGATGGAGCGGAGTCCTTAAAAAACTTTTCAAGCCACTGCTTCGCTTGGACGGTATTTTTTCCCATCAAGAAGTAGTATGAAATTAAAATACGAAATTATTTTTGATCCATTGTTTTGAAAATAACGAAAGTAGTGTCACTCTTAGCAAAATAACTCACAAACTTATGAGTAGAATATCAAGAAATTTAAAAAGCTTTTTTTTTTAAGTTTACCATTAACTGATACAGTGGTGAATGCAGAAAGGCTAACGCCATCTGTGTTGGGCCCGAGACTTTTTAGCCCATGTAGTATATAGTGATAAGGAACGGTCAGACTATCTACATAGCTGTTCATACTGTGAAATTTTTGGCATTGATCCTGCAGTTATTGCTGCGAGTATAATATTTTTATAACCAGAAATCAAATGAGCGTCATTTTCATTAGTTAGATAGATACAGTGAAATAGAATTATCAAACGATGCGTGGTTGCAATTAAAATATGTGGAAGAATCTGTGAAACTGAAAAGTTATCACAGAATTACAGGATGTTCCTAAAATTGCATCTACAAAAAAATTCTGAATTGACATAAATGCATAGAAATACAATGAGTTTTCTGGATATCAACACAATCCATTGAGAATGAATGTCCCTAACTTTCGAGAAAAAACGCAGGACTAGGTGTGTCAGGAATTGTTGAACGGCGCCAACGGCGATCCAAATTTACTCCAAAGGGACATCGCTGGTGATGAATCATGGGTATATCGTTATGACATCAAAACCAAAGTCCAATCGTTCGAATGGAAGAGCCAAGGCCAAAGAAAGCACACCAAGTTCGATCAAATGTCGAGGTTTTGCTCAATGTTTTCTCCGATTACCGTGATGTACTGCATCAGGAGTTTTTGCCACACGGCCGTACGGTCAATGAAGGGTATTATCTTGACGGCATCGCCAATTGCGAGAAGCAATACAAAGAAAACCTCCGGTATTATGGAAAAATAATTCGTGGTATTTGTATCACAATAATGCACGTGCTCGCTCGTCATTGCTGTAGTATTTTGACCGAAAACAACACTGTTATCATGCCTCAGCCACCGTATTCGCCAGATTTGGCCCCCTGCGACTTTTTCCAGTTCCCAAGGTCGAAGAGACTCATGGAAGGTGGGCGTTTTGCGACGATTGAGGAGATAAAAACTGAATCGCTGAGCGAGCTTTATTGACCAAAGAGTGCATATCAGAACTACTCCGGAGATTGGAAAAAGCGCTGGCACAATTATATTTTATCTGGAGGCGAATACTTTGAGGTGAACAAAATAGAAATTGATGAATGAATACATATTTTTGAGAAAGATGAAACTTCACCTCATTCTTCGAACATACAGCGTATTGTTAAAGTGAACCTTTGTGCAAAATTCAAAAGATTGAAATTCATCACCTATGTTTTCCTTGTCGTTCTCACTTTTCGGCGTGATGGATATATGGCTGTGTTTCTTCAGATCCTCAGCAGTAGCAGGGACCAGCATTTGCTTGTCTCCAGCTGGCAAAACTCTCACGAGAACAGGAATTCCGGCCAAAGGACGTAATAAAGCGAACGGTGTCTGGTTGGACTCGATGGCTAATCTCATCGCTTCAGTCTTGATGGTATCGACCACTATTGCATTTGAGTAACTGAAACATTGAAAGTANTGTCAAGATCTGACTTGTTACTGCATGCTAACCTCATTACATCATCCAGATAAGAGTCTGTAAGTTTGTTTCTGTACACATTCTTGCTCTATTTGATTTTAGAAAAAGACGATTCACACACAAATGTAGACCCAAAGAATGTTAATAAGATTTGGGCACTTATTTGGACGCTTTTATATTTTTGGGGAACAATGCTCCAAAATTCAACATATTTCCTTTTTTCTTTTAAACAGGACTTCTAAGTTGGTGTCGTTTTTAAAATCGATGAATTAATCGAACAACTCTGAGTAATTACAATTCAAAACTGATGTTAGTTCTGAAATAGTTTTGTTTCTAGATGACACGGATCTTCAACAAGTAACAAAATTTTTTTGATTTTTCCTAGATCTTGGAATCTTTTTTTAAATAGATCTAATAATGCAGTTATATAATTGGAAATTATGTAGTAGTTTTCCTCAAAAATGTCAATATGATCCTCTGCAGTATTATTTCATGGCGTAGAGAAATAACCTTTCCAAAACTTTTCTTCTACTAAGCCATTGCACTGATGTATGTAGAAGGACATCGTTATAATCATTACCCAGTTCTTCCATAATGCTTTTAAATTTTCTGTGATTCAATTCTCTTGGTCGAATATAATTGACAATATTGATAACGGTCTTCATCACTGCTTCTATTTCTGGATTTACAGCACGTGCCGTCAAGTTTTCTTAGTGAATAATGCAATGAAATATAATTGAATTTGTTAGATTATAACTCTATAACTCTGGTGGGCGCGAAGTTCAAAAAAATTTACAACTCCAGGTGAGCCAATCACAAAGACTCGGCGGGCCGCATGGCTGCTCTAGATAGATCATCTTGCGATAGACAGCGTGTAACACTGGTTTCCTAAAGATCAGTAGTAGAACAATTATAATTCGAAACAAAATCATACTTCCCCCTACGAAATAAAATTATCTGGTTTCTGAACACCTTGATACATTCATTATAAAACAAAGACATTAATTATCCAGTTTCATCACGCCTTCTGGTAGATATATATTCAGACTTCCATATAGTTTGAGTAATGCACCAGAAATCGTTCAAAAATATATAAGTGATTTCGTCTTTGAATTAGATGGTTAGGTTAGGTTAGGTTAGGTCCAGAGTGAGTGGGTCTTTTCGACCCTCGGCCTTCAGTGTTACAGGCCTCCAAAGTTCCAAAAATTGCAACTTTACAGTCTTTTATCGCACAATACAAACTAATGAAAATTGCCATGGTAACTGTATGGTGATCAGCGACTGGTGTGATTCATTACAACATTCTGCAATCGGGCCAAACCATCACAGCAGAGTTCTATTGTGAGGAACTCAAGTGAATGTATCGAATATGCATCAGCATCAACCAGTCCGCACATTTTACTAATCATCGCCCGAAAATCAAACGATTTGAGCTTCAAAGTTCTTCCTCATCCACCATACTCGCCAGACCTCTCGCCAAGCGACTACCATATTTTTATCACTGGTGAAAGCTTCGCAAATCAATAACAAGCAAAAACTGCCTTCGTCAACGTTATCGAATCCCGATCACACAATTTTTACGCTGACGGAGTTATTCTACTTTCGTTGCGTTGGCAAAGGTACACTGATTCAAATGGTGCTCATTACGATGAAGTTGAATGAGTTCACTCTTAATGAGAGAAACGGACAAAACTTTTGAAGCAACCTAATAATTATTCAAATATTTTTCAATGAAAAAACCTTTTGTGTTAATGGTTTTATATATTTTTCTATAAAAAGTGTTTTTTAATAATGGTTTTATGTTATATAATAGTCGGTCGGTAGCCGGACGGCTAGACGTGGGTGCTTTGTTTACTCAAATCGACCGCCATGTCGGTCGGTGGTTCAAGCCGCAGGCTGAACGATCGATTTTCACTTGCTACCGTCCAACCCATGTTGGGAATAACACGTTAAAAGGTAAGACCTCATTAATCCTTAACTCGCACAAGTTTTGACTTCTGAGGGTTGTTGTTCGTAGGGGTGCGACAGCTGGTTAACGGAAAAACAGATATTTTTCAATAGTGATATTTAGAAGAAAAAAAGCGGTTGGTAACTGAAAACCAGGTCAGTGAAACATGTTGATTAGTTAACTGAAAAGTATCAAAGAAGGTGAAATGAGAGGTAATGATGATGCGGTGGATAAATATTTGTAAGTACAACCAACTTTTTTTCAAAATCGGAGGGTGCACAGCCTATCCAAAATTATACCAAATTCACTGCTCATTTTGTCATAGTGCTAGTTCCTTTTCCACTTCCTATTCTACATATACCTTGTATATCTGAGATCATACCTGTTTTTATCTAGAAAGCCTGTACGATCAAAATTCAAATTTCATTATAAAAACTTGAAATGAGTGTTCGAAAAAATCTGGATAGTTCCACGTTTATTTAACATAATAGCTAGTGTTCAATTTTCTATTCGATAAATACAAGTGAGAAACATTTCAGTATCAATAATAATAATGTTTATGAATTCCAAAAAACAAGAATGTTTACATAAATTTGAATGGTGAATAGATGAATCATCTGAATACTAGATAATAAAATTGTAATATAATAACAATCAAAAACAAAAAAATGTAATATAGAGATCAGAATTTCAACTAGAAAGCACATTCCTATTATCTTTTGTTCTTCACGAAGAAGTTTATCCCCTTCGACCAATATGAAGTTTTGAATAAGAACCACAAATCAGCTTGAATACTAATGAAAACTCAAGTTTTGTCTTTATTGTTTTCGATATTGAATTCAATTCCCACCTCGACCAGATATTTTTCTCGAGAGAATTTATCTGGTTAAAGCTGGGATGATTCTGCAACCGTGTTAGGAATCACACGTTAAAATGTAATACCTCGTTAGTCCTTAGCTCGCACAAGTTTCTGAGAGTTGGCGTTCGTAGGGGGGCGACAGCTGATTAACGGAAAAACAGATTCTAAACAGATTTAAACAGATAAATTTGGTTCAATTATTAGTTGTTCGGTAAACCACATAAAACATAAGCAACTTATCAAAAACAATGACGTGTCGGATAGATCAGGAGTATCTGAATTGACTTGCGGTTCTTGCCCAAAACTTTATATTGGCCAAACGGGGAGAACCAGGTGTCAAAGAATGAAATAGCATAGAAGTAGTTTTTGAATAACCAATTACACATTTGCAAATTATATTTTGGCAGAGGCATCAGCTCAATCTCTCGAAGTGCTTAAAAATTAATAGATTTGGGAATTCAATAAGAAATGTGGCCATCTTCCACCTGTTTAAAGTTATCTATTTAGTACTATTTTTTTTCAGATTGTGGAAAGTGGACAGCTCCAGATTTTCACCTCACAGTTTACAAAGTCGCAAACAACATGTGTTTGTTTTTTTTGGGTATTCATAATCAATCTTCCAGAATGTAAGACACACACAGATAAAGAGAATCTACTGAAATGTAACAAAGTACAAACTGAAAAGTTAACTCACTCATATTTCATCAAATTCTCTATTGACTTAGCTTTGTAGATTTTTCAAGTTCTGGAATACATGAAAAACTGCAAGAAATATGATAGAACTAACTGATACTTGATGAAAAACCATTATGACGTAATCAAAAAACACACTTCAATGAGAGATTCCCAATTGAAAGTTCACAAAACCGCGATAAACAGTACACATATAATAAGTACACGATATACTGACGTGTGTCCGTTTTGTAAAATTTCAAGTGGTGATCGCACATTGATGCGTATTTTTTGAATATAGCAAGTACTATTTTCTTTCTTTGGATTGAAGGAGTTATATTTTTAACTATTTTATAACATTCGTTTTCCAATTTTGAAATTGATCAGAATCAACAAATAATGGGCCTCACATTTTCCTTGGTGAATTACACTCATAATCTTCAATTTTTGATATTATGGAATGAGGCTAGACAGACTTATTTGCTTCTTTTGATACTATTATAACATCTGTTGTTATTGCAAGTGAATACATTTTATTTAACTTTACCTTTCTGATGGAAAGCTTTAGAGCACAAATGACACCTGTGAGGTTTGAGGCCGGTGTGGGTTTTTCTATGGGAAATGAGGGTGGAGACTCTGTTGAAGGTTTTGTGACAAATTTCACACACATAGGGTCTTTCAGTGGAGTGAATAGCACGGTGTTGGGATAAGGTCGACATCTGGCGGAAAGCTGGAAAGGAATGTGAGGGATTTTGTGGATTAGTTTGAAATGATGACTTTTCCCATGGGAATGTAGGCTGTCACGGCTGGCGTCAATGTTTTGGTTGATTTTCGGGTTTTGCCGTCGTCTTCTTTGGTTACAGTCCCCAAACGTTTCAACGGCAACTGCGGTAGTCATCTCCAGTGGCGTAGTCGAAGTACTATTCTTGACGTATCAACTGAAACGTCTGACGTATCAACTGAAACTGAACTGGTCATAAAAGAAGACTACGGCAAAACCCGAAAACCAACCAGAACAATTTTTTCTATATCAGGAGCAAACAATTTTCCTTTCGTTCGTGAAAGATTCACACTAAAATGATTCCTGAGAATTTGGTATTGAAATAAATATGTTTCTAAGCCCTACTATCCTCAAAAGACAAACCTGCGTAAGTACTTAGGTTAGGTCAAACTGAAACAAATAAACCCAGCCGATTAGTTTATATGGTGAGTGATTTTTCAGGTTGAATGGTGAGACTGCGGTTCTGAAAACCTGATTCGATCTGTAGCCCAACAACTGTTTGATTTGGAATGAGACAATCCTGAAAGATTTTGCCAGAAGTTATTCAGTCCTCTCTACTCGGGAATAGTACTGTATAAGGCAGTTCGTAATTGACAGTTGGAGGAGTGAGTACTTACCCAGGTTCATCCTTCAAAGACAGTTGAGTTTAGTAATGCATTCGTGATTCATCCTCGCACCTTTGATGATACCTATAGAGGCCCAAAACACCGATGTGGTGTGGTGTTAAATCGCTAATGTTTTGTTTTTGGTATCTGATTTAATCAGAATAAATACTGTTCACCACTAATCTGTATATTCAATGGAGACAACACTTACCTTTTCCGCACGTATTGCACTGGAACTTTCTCTCATCTGTATGAGTTGGAAGATGTCTCATCAGGGTGTACTGATGTGTGAACTCCTTCGAACCTGTCAAATATTCAAAAGATGATAGTTATAATTTTTTAAATTTCTACCTGGAGCTTCCAAATGGTCGAATTTATGTGTGGTGTACTCCAAGGTACAGTAATATTTCAAAAAGTAAATCACAATGTATGTAGAATTCAGTTTGTTAGTGAACACGCTTGAAAAAGCTACTGTGCAGCGAAACACGTGTTGCGGATTTGTTAATCTGTTCTAGTGAAAATCTCACAATAGAGTGTTCTTCAAAATACATCAACTTTAAAAAAGTTTTTGAGGTAAGTAAACAACTGACAAATAGCTGAATAATATGATTGAATTTTATTATTTTTATAGTATTAAGATGGATGCCGTAACAGGTTCAAGTAATGTACAAAGAAAGCGTTGTCGTGGTGGAAAAAAATTGAATTGGACGAGTACCAGAAAAATTTTGTGCGCTATACCTTCGAGAATGAAGCGCCAACCCTCGAATCCATTAGGACAAAGGTAATGGATAATGATCTCAATCTAAAAATGAGCAAAGAGAAGTTGAGGAAAATAATAAAAGAAGATTCCGTAAATCTGTCTTAATAGAAAGAGTCTCATGGCGATGGAGATATCTTCGCTCTATCAGAGAAATGCGTTCTGCTCACAAAAATATTTATTATCTGGACGAGACGTGAGTGAATGCTGGTCACATAGTATCTAAGATCTGGCAAGATACTACTGTAACTAGTTATCGTCAAGCATTTGTGGACGGTTTATCAACAGGGTTACGCGGACCAATGGCTAAAGGACAACGAATAATTGTCGCCCATATACACTGTGTCCGTAAACTATGGAACAAATTCATTTTTAGCTAAACAGGTCATTTTAAGAAATAATCCTGAAACACGTCGATTTTTGATGTTAATTTACCCTATTTTAAAATAATAATCTAATATACAGGGTGAATTACGTTCGAGTAATGACGTCACCGTTATTTTTTTTTCATAAAACACCCCCATTTTGTCTCAATTTTCGGATTACTCTAGCTGAGCTGATTCCAAAAATGTATCACATGTTGATTCCAATTGGTACAGTAATATATGTGTTGTATGGAGGTGACTTTTTTCCTACTAATTAGAGAGGTTGAAAGGTGTCTAACCACTGTTCAATTACCAATTGCATCCTCAAAGTGCTTACTATACTTTTTCTACGACTGACCGTAGAAAGGAAATTTCCTACAAATCATTTCATTATAGTTCATTTTTGTTATAAGTTTTTGCTGAATCTTCTGAATAAACAAGAATAACGTTTTTGGAAAACAAAGTTATTTTTATCTTCTCTTTCCAACTCACGAAATTTTCAAAATTATATTCATATTTTTCTCTTGATTTGGCTGGCAGCAAATTATTCATCGTAATATTTGCTTGCTTGGTAATTTCTGATGGAGTAGCACAAATTTCTTGATCGTTATCACTTATTTCATTTTCAACTTTTACGAGATACTTAACGACAGATTATAATTAAAACAAATAGTTGTTGATTCAACGGATATAACAAGAATCATTACCAACCCACAAACTGTTGAACAATAAATTCACTGAAAATATGATTTTTATTTCGATTTTACAGAGAATTTGAAGAGAAGATTCACTGATTTTAGATTTTGGACAATGTACATGTTATATATCTCATTATTTTTCAAAATTTTTACGGAAGTGGCCGCCATTAATTCAGAATATATGTGTATTCTAAATGAGCCATTACCTACCTGCTCTTAAACACGTAATAATTAGTTTAGAATGGAGGGAGTAGAAAAAATATATTTATTTAATTTCAACTATCCAATAGAACTAATGTATTTATTCGTTTCAAAAATGAAAGATGTCAGTTAATTTTGAAAAGTTCTCTAACAGAAAGTTCATTATTCCTTTGGTCCCGTACCAAAACTGAAACAATGTCGGTTCCAATCGCCACATCGGAACCGGTTTGTGATTGACCATTTGAATGATTTCAAAGAGGCCCTGCTGAACGACCGGGGAACACTGCTTACAATTCAATGTAGGTCATGATATTAGCCAGGAACGTGATAGTTTTGCGACAGGAATTGACGCAATCCTACGAGAATACTTTGGGAGAGGTGAATATATCAAATCTAACGAACTAAATGATTCAAATCATTCATCCATCTGAGCATTTCAACACGTTAGCTCTTCGAGAAACAATTACATCTCAGATTATCGCCAAGATGATTACCACAACGTTCATTTTTATGGATGCATCAACGATAACAGATCAAGATAAATACTCCAATAGCAGGCCCACGATGCAAAATGGGGATTTACTCGAGCGTCATTGAGACACATTAGGTTGCAAAGCTTAGATGATAAGAAGAAAAAAATGTTATATAATATATAACTTTTCATCGATTGGGGAAGCGGTTATAGATTTTTAAATATGTAAAAAAATACTGTTGCATAGGCATACTCGAACGCGTCAGATATTGATAGCATCAATGTTCTACGTATTTTTAATCATGTTGGTATGTCAATCTGATCGTTTGCATGATGTGGGCGGTTGTACGTAAGAGTTAAAAGTGAAAAGAAAAATGAGTAATCGAGCGCGTCAGATTTTCTAAGGGGTTGTTAAGTGCGACAAAAAAAAACTCTCATTCAATAATCTGACGATTTCGATCTGACGCAAACTCGCCGCCATTATTATAATGTGCAAAAAAAATTCGACATTTCGAAATACTCAAGCGCGTCATATTAAGGTATATATGGTTCATCTTCATGATTTACACGTGCTGCTCATAATCTGACGATTATCTAGAGTTATATGGGGCTCATATTTGGTGGAGGTACTTAACCGGGTACAAGGTATCCCCCTGTATATTAATCTGCCGCGCTTTAGTAAATCCCGAAATCCTCCCTTGGGCAACCACAACCAGTGATGATTGAATGAAATTGGCTTGATTCGCTTCATCGTTTTCTTTCGAAATTGATCGTTGCGTATCTGTATATTTTATTTTCCAGACTGATGGAATATCATTTTGTATATTATACATTATTTATCTATCATCACTACTTTACTTACATACGCCACACTCCCAAACCTTCACGTGCTTTCCATCTTGTAATTTGTATTTTACGTAATGAGACGTCCCATGACCCTCGTTAAGTTTCGTCTCTGAGCTGTTATTCAGATCTGTAGGTGGTTTTTCGTTGATATTATTATTGAAAGAACTTTGCATCAAGTTGGCAGCTTCCTCCATCCTGTCCATATTTTGTCCTAAGTGAAAATCGTTACTGTGCGCGGCAAGATTGTTAGTTATATTATCTAACTGGGCAAATAGAAGAATGTCATCTTCGTCCTTCATTTCTTCTCTTTTTATAGGCCTGAAATTGTGAAAAATGTCAAATATCAGTGAAGGTTCACATTTCGTGACTCCTAAATGGTTGGCAGTGGGTATGTTGGTCATTGTATTTTGAAAAGTTACTGAAAGCAATGACGAGTCATACAAGAATAGATAACAGATGCCATGGATACTATTCAAAGATTCTCAAGTGCTGTAGAAATTTGACGGATTTTCTTGAAGTGGTCTCTCTCAATAACAGAGAGGTGGCGCTGAACAACACAAAAAATACGAGGCTCTCAAACTATCCATCAAGATAACGTGGGGTAACGTAGGCAGAAAGTTGGTGATCGAAATAACTTCAAGGCAAACAGAACCCATAAAAGGTTCGTTTCATAATTTTATAGTCATGGTTCATGTAGCATGCTCATCGACATCAGAGTTATTCATTAACAAAAAAAAACTATGCAAAATTATACTTAATGAGATGATAGTACATGATAGTAGGAATTCAGAAGACTTTTTATTTTTTGTTGGACTCGATTAGTTTTCGAGATATAGCCTGTCAAAGTTTGTATGATGTCATATTTCACCTTATTTTTTCTTTAAGAAATAGGTAAACGATTGTAATTCACATATTTTGTTATTTAACACACGTATCATCGCACCCTTTTCTATCCCTTATCAATAACTTATTGCCTAGTTCCCTGAAATAAGAATGAAATTCCATGATTTGTCAAGTGCACACAAATCACTTTTTGAAAATTGCATTAAGTTTTACTATCGGGATTAGAAAATTCTGTACCAACCAAAAATTAGGTTATTCAATATTCAATTATAAACTTCCACTTGATATGACATTTATACCTAATATGAGAACAATAAATGACATGGATCAATAGAATATTGATAAAAATATTGATGTGCGCATTTGTTCAACTGTTGGTGATTAGTGGCGCACGTTTATCTGTCAAGCGGTTGTCTTTTTTTGGTTAGCTGTTCTCTCTCTAAATTCCAATATTTCAAATGTCATTTATGAAAAACGAAATATTTTCGGGAAAAAAAGTTTTTGGCTTTCTACTACTCCATCTTGATATAGAAAAATGCGGAAATCTTCCTTTACAGCAAAAAACGATTGCAATTCACATACTTTTTATTTAGAAATCTTTTTCTTTTTCATCGCACATTTTTCTATCCTTTTTATACAATACATGAGGTTTTCAATTTAGTAGGTCAGGTTGGATGTTTAGAAAATATAGTTTTTTGAATAAAATTTTCGAAAATACGTTTCTTTCAGAATTCGGAGGTCAGGTTAGATATTGAGGAAAGATAGTTTTTACAAAATTAAATATTCGAAAATACATTCCTTTTGAAATTTGGAGGTCAGGTTAGATGTTGAGGATAGATAGTTTCTTAAAAATTATATAGTAAAGTTAGGTTAGGTTAGGTAGGGACAGGTTAGATTGAGTAAGGTTAGATTAAGTTGACTTACGTTAGGTTTGGTTAGGTCGAGTTAGGTTAGGTTAGATTAGCTAATTTTGGGTTAGGTTAGGTTTGGTTAGGTTAGGTTGAGTTGGGTTAGGTCAGGTTAGGTTAGATCGAGTTAGGTTGAGTTAGGTTATGTTTAGTTGAGTTGGGTCAGGTTGAATTGGGTCAGGTTGAATTGGGTCGAGTTAGGTTGGATTAGGTTTGGTTAGGTAATATCAGGTTAGGTTTGGTCGGGTTAGGTTGAGTTAGGTTAGGTTAGGTTAGGTTGAGTTAGGTTATGTTTAGTTGAGTTGGGTCTAGTTAGGTTGGATTAGGTTTGGTTAGGTGATATCAGGTTAGGTTTGGTCAGGTTAGGTTAAGTTAGGTTAGGTGAAGTCGAGTTAGGTTAGGTGAGGTCGGGTTAGATTAGGTTAGGTTGGGTTAGGTGAAGTCGAGTTAGGTTAGGTTAGATTAGATTAACCTTATTTTTTTGAAACATTTAAAATATTGAAATTTAGAGATAGAACAGCTTACCAAAAAAAGACAACCGCTTGACAGATAGATGTGCACCACAAGGCACCAACACATCAATATTATATTCATCCATATCATCCAAATCAGCTGAAAGGGTAAGGAAGCTGGGCTCCAACCTGAATGAACTGAAGACGATTGGTCGGATTTAAAATAAAAAGCGTTCTGAATTCCACCTATCACGTAGTACCTATCATCCCAGAAAAAATCGCGAAAATCCGCGAGTATTCCATGAATTACAATTTTCCCTAAAACTATTAAAAAAAAAAGCAACTGAGTTTACTCGGTAAATTAAATCAACGGCATTTCTAAACTTCTGCTGTCATGGCCGTGAAATATCATAGTGGTTGTCCAATCAACTCATTGGTTTCAATTATTTTGACAGGTGAGTGACACTGATGCTTTCAAATTAATAACGTGACAAATATAATGAAATGTAATGGTTATCACTCGAAAATGATGGTTTTATCAACAGTCGAAACGTAATGAAGTAGTCTGGTTTCAATTTTTTTTTTCCTTTCAATTTTTCATCATCATGTATTTTTTCTCATTTATCTTGGATGGATTAATGAAAAACATGTATTTTTGATTGGAAATGCATTGGGGTCAATATTTATCTTTTTTTTATATATATCTACTAGGTATTTTTAGAAATTATCTAATGCATACGGGTTATCTGGCCTACTAAATCTGGATTTGGAAACGAATCATTCAATTTGCCTAATAATCGAATTATATCGAATATTACCGTCATCCTTTATTGCATGCTCCTTTCGAAAATAAATATAAGTACTTTTCAATTGATATCTTCCTAATGAATATTACAGTTCTTTTTTATATTAGTGATAAGTCTGATTCAGAATGAAGATAACCAAACTTTTCAAAACGTTCAATGGTATAGGTAAAAAATGTATTGAAGTATATCATATGGAAACATATTAAAGAATTTATGAAAAAATTGTTTTGCGTGACAGTTTAAATCGAATAAAACATTTCTAACCTACAAAAATATCTTCTATTTTCAATTGGTGAATGGTAAAAGTATTGATATCATCTCTTGGCTGCTATATTAAAAAAAAAGCTCGCGAAACAAATTGTTTTCATTATTTAGAGACTGATATGGGTAATTTCAATGGCATATTTCAAAAAAGTGTAATATGAACATGAATGAGAAACAAATTGAAACATAACCTAATTATTCATAACTACCTATTTGTGTTACCACGACATATAAGATATAATCAACTTATCATGTTGTTGCTAGTCGCGAACTTCTTTTATTTCAAATAACTTTCATTGAAAAATAATGAAAAAGTTGCAGAACAGAGTTATACTTCACTTTCATTTATTAATGAATAAATGAATACCTCATACGAGCCAACCCTAACCATCAATCTTAGAGTTCATTCAGTATTATTTTAAATTATTTGGTATCAGTTTAATCGTACTCACGTTTCTGTCTCCAAAACTGAGCCAAATGCCTGTAGAGCAATATCGTCCGAACCTAAAAACTCTTGCTCCATCACTAACTAAACACCTCACGAAAGACAATATTCTAATATTCAATCGCGATCCCTTCTACTCAGCATTGTTGGGAGCTACTACCCTAGTCAAATCACCACTAGATACATTACGATTTCGCGGCGAAAAACTGAAGAGAGGCAAATCAGAATGTTTAGGTCAAAACAGTTTGTAGAATTTTAGATTTTGTTTGAATATAAAGAAAAATGAATAATAATGACATTGATGGAAGTGATGTATGGAAATCTCAATCTGACAAGTCAAGTTTTCAAAGCTAAGGTGATTTAAACGCGTATTATTCTACGGCCAGAATATAAAACTGACACAGGGAATACCTAACACCAACTTACAATTGGTGGTGATATTTGCATGATCTATGTTAGAAGTGATTAAATACAGACTTATTACTGTGTGCAATTTTTTTTAAGTGTTAACGAAAATTAAATGATCGTTATTAATAGGTTTATATTACAAATTATTGGAATTTTTAAATGATTAAATTTGAAAGATATAAGTTGGAAATGTAGATAAGAATAGGTACAATTTTTATTTTGAATCACTTTGAGTAAACAAATTTCACAAGTATTTTCGGAATTATAGTTCTATGATGAATGAATTGAATGAATCGTATAGAAAATCATTTCGTTTCCATATTTCTGATTCAATTTCTAAGTACCCAAATTCATCTTCCAAGGCCTCTACATCGAAATGTGGTATGAAGAAACAACAAACGACATGCCATTATGTTCAGAGAATTATGACAAATTACATAAAAAAATATGAATACAAGGTGATTCATTCAAAAACCAAATAACATGACATTTTCATAACAATCAAAAAAATTAGAAACAATTGATAATGTGTCGAAACGTGACTGAAATTTACTATAGGTACACTAGATTGAGGAAATGTGTAATATATAGAGTGTTCTCTTCCGTGGATTCTTCTGGTTTGCACTAAACTGAAGTTCAAGCTGATAGAAATATGATCTTAGTTATTGTATTATTCTGAAAGTTCCTTCTTAACTGTTTCTATCTGTTCATTACAATTTCAAAAAAAAACCGCTGTTTATATCATTTCAGTCAACCAATATATGAATTTGAACCCCTTGGTACAATTTATGAGAGGAATCGATAGGATAAAAATCAATATTGTCTACTGATCATATTTGTTGAAAATGAGTCAGAATGAAAGATAACATAATTATGTAGAGCGAATTTTTTTTTAATTATCTACTTGTCCTTGAGAAAATTTTACTCACGGTTCTGAGTCTGGAATTACACTGAATATCAGAAAATCTTCATCTACCAATTTCAGATACACTTCGCCCATCATTAAAAAATAAACATTGCCAGTGAGACTGCTAACATTTAGTACCTACCCAAGCCTCTTTCCACTACTATTGGAAACCACAACACTAGTCAAAACATATCTAGGAACATTGTAATTTCACGTATTAAATGGGAAAGAGAGTTCACATCAAGATATTTTGACGTCGAAACAATCTATATAATTTAAGATTTATTTTTGAGGAAGAAATACAAATGAATAATAATGACGGTATATACAGGGTGTATCAAATTCGATCCTCACGGAATCTCGGAAACTATGAGAGATACGAAGATGGTTAAATTGGTGTAAAGTTGCGCATTCACCTGACTAACGATATACCGTTGAGAAAGTTCTGAAATTTCGAGTAGATCCAGAGATATCCGAAAAAAACGGAAATTTCGGAAAATGGTTTTTATTTTTTCCTGACTTCATTTTTCAAAGATTCGAAAATGAATTGCACTTCCACATTGCCACTTTTTCCCTGCTACATAATGGGTTTTCAGATTTGCTATTCGACGTTTCGTCTTCCGGCCACCATCATCAACTTTATTTTATCTTATGGACGCTATATTGGATTGTTCCAGTTCTGAATAGAACCAGATTCTACCTTTTCAATGATGTATCATGAGTTATCATTTTTTTAGAAATATTGGAGAATTTGAAAAATTCATTCATATCATAATAGGCTTTGACTTTGATGTTTCTAAATTTGACTTTCAATTTGTTACACTCAATGACATTTTGTTATTGTACAAGTCATTGCATTTTTGGCGAAAAATGGCTTTAACGAAAAGAAAAGAGATACGATACAAATTTATTACAAATACAATATAAATAGTGTTAGGTCATCGGAAATGTATTTGAACTTGTATCCCGAAAGACGACAACCATTTTGAACTATGTTCAAATTATTGGATCAAAATATCACAGAGTTTGGTTTATTTGAAAAGCTAAGGAAAAAATACGAAGACAGAATGGACCAGGAAACTGAAGAGAGTGTATGAGGTAAGGTAGTCCTTTTCAATAAAAATCAATAATTTGCAGGTAAACATGAACCCGGTGAAATTCACGCATCAAATTTCCTTCGAAATAAATATTTGTCATACAAGTGCTTGGAGACATCTCAAAAAAAGCGGTTTGAAATGTTACAAAATACACATGTCTCAAAAATTGCATCCAGGTGACCCCGAAAGGAGATTAAAATTTTGTAATTGGTTAATAAAAAGACCAGATTTTCCTGTTTTCCTGGAAAATGTAATTTGGACAGATGAAAGCACTTTCACGAATTGTGGGATATTCAACCGGAATAACGAACACATTTGGAGCATAAACAACCCCAGGCAGTTCCGAAAAATTCGACCTCAAGTGTGATTCAATATTAACGAGTTACCAAAAAGTAACAGTTCATTATGAATTTTTTATCAGAAAAATCAATAAAAATAATTCCGAAATCATTTGACTATTGATTTTATAATAAAATAAAAAAAAACCTGTTTCTACAATCCTATTAGAGTGAAAATAAGTACCTACTATCTTGAAAATTTTGAAATACAAAGAGGAGGCGTGTGGTAGTTCAATCGTTAGTGTTTTCAATTCTCAAACACCAATATCAGCTTTTTTATTTTCATTTTATCATCCCAAAATATTTCAATATTTTCGTCACTAACTGCACAAAAGATCATGAAACAAATGTGTAAACTGGAAGCCTTCTGCTTAATGACAATAAAGAAATTTCTGGAATTCGATTTTTTTTCAATGATATCAATTTTTCAGCTGATAATGAATTCATGAGATTTTTGGTAACCAGAAGTGAATAACAAATTGGCAAAACTGAATCACTACATAATATATAACAAAGTCGCGTCCCGTTGTCTGTCCCTATGTATGCTTAAATCTTTAAAACTACGTAACGGATTTTGATGCGGGTTTTTTTAATAGACAGAGTGATTCAAAAAGAAAGTTTATATGTTTATAATATGCATAATATAGTAGAAAAACACAGATAATTTTAGAGGATTTTAATGTGATGTCATAAATAAACACCTTAAAAAGATCTACAAAAATGTCCGCGATGGTATATGTCTATCTCTTAGGGATAACGCACAATGAACATTTCTCATCTTTTACCTTGTTACGAAGCGATTTTGAGTAATACAGCATCAATCCTTATCCAATTAAGTACCTCGAAAATATCGTACATTCAATATAGATTTTTTATTCAGTTGAAAAGTATAATGTGATATAAAAAAATATGTATGGATTTCACACGTTGGTATGGTAAAAATCTTTATTCTACGTTGCAGCAGAAGAATTATCATCAGTCTCACGTATATTGGACGAGTTTAACGATGAGTTGTTATATGGCATAATATTAGATGTATTAGATGAAGCAGTGGAATTGTTAGAAAAACATGTACCCGGTCGACTTTCCGTCTGAGTTTCCGCTCCTTGAGCCAATTCTTCTTCCATTATGATTTTGGCGATTTTATATTTCACTATAGCTTGGCGTCGATTAGACAGTTTTTTAACGCTTGCAGCATATCCTCGAAAAGTTAAATCTATGCTGTCGCAGTTATTTTTAACATCCGAGTGCCTTTTATTCAAAAAGTGAATAATTTTGTCAACATTAGATGAATTGTTCGATGCCGAATTTTCTACCGCTTTTCTGTTCTGACCTGAATTATGAATATATGAGATTTGTGCCGATCTTTCTTGTACAGTAGTCCCAGTACTGGCTTCGTTAACGTTTTCTGAACTCTCTGTAGCTTCTTTTTGTGTATTGCTTGCTTCAACTCCTTCATCTACTACTTCAGGACTTTCTGCTATGTCATTAGTAGTAGCAATGTTGGACTCTATTTGCGCAAATTGCAAAAAATGTCTAAAAGCTTCCATGTGCTGTGCCCTTGTCCAGGATTTATAGCGACAAATGGATTTAGCCCCTTGCCCAGTTCTGGTTTTCTCGGAACGTGAGTGCTTTGAGAAACGAACTCTTAAGTTCTTCCAGCATTTTTTTAAGTCCTCGCCTGCAAATAAAACTTTTCCCATTCAACATGTGTCTATTTCCACTTAAAGTGTTTACGATAAATACGTTTGATCGCAGTCGCGATCGCGGTCGCAATCGCGTATATGTGGTCTCCGCTTTATATCGCATGATCATTCGAATATGAGAAACATCTGTTCAAAGTGCGTGCCGCGCGAGCTCATTGTTAACCAAAAACAAGAACGTCTTGATGATTCTGAGGAGTGTTTGGCCATGTTTGAACATAGGAAACCGGAATTTTGCGTCGATATGTGACAATGAACGAAACATGAATCCATCACTTCACTTCGGAATGGAAATGATTGTAATCTGAGTGGAGAGCAACTGGTGAAATTCATCCAAAGCACCCGAAAGCACGACAGAAGGTGAATACCATAAACAGTGAATATAATGTAATGAATCTGAAGCCGGCCCTGACCGGTTCCCAGTCAGTCAACGCATGACGCATACCGCGAAAACTCCGGATGGGTCCCGAAATCCGCAGAGGGATCCGGAACGTTCGTTGACAATATAAAAACGTCGCTCTTCATCCCGAAGAGTAGTCTGTACCAAGAAAGCGATTCGAGCGGTTAACAAACGGTAAAGATAAATTAAGCGTTAGTTACTGAGTGGTGTAAATAGATTAGTTGTGATAGTGAAGTATTGTTAAAATAAATTTGTTTAAGACAGTTAATTCTTTAATTCGTTACAATAATATACCGTTATTTGAACGTTTGAAGGCCGAAATTGCAAAGAAATTACCGCATATTGCAAAGAAAAAAAAATGTCTTCCATCAAGACAACGCACCGTGTCACCGGCAAAAAAACTCCGCTCGAATGGAGAGGTTATTGCTGAAACTGAGGCCTATTTTGAAGCAAAAGATGAACCGTTCTACTAAAGTGGTATCTGGTATCTGTAGAGAGAGTGAGTGTAGGCTCACAGCACTTAGGCCACATGTGACCCATTGTACATCTTCCCGAGGAGTTGTCCTCCTAGGTTATCGTCCATCCTGTCCGTTCCAGGAAGGTGAACAGATTACTAGGAGATATCTCCTTAATATTGGCAAGTATAGGCCAAAACTCGCCGAACACACACTCTCTTTGGAAACACGAGGTGTCTCACGATGGCATCCGTGAAGGTTTTGGAAGTTACAGCGATATTCCTGTCGTTGTGCGGCTTCTTCAACCTTCTTGGGGTTCCCAAGAAGATTGAAGTGAGGGAGCTTTCCTGCAGTGACAGCTGGTTTCTTTTCTTTATTCAAGGCGGAGCTCTTGGCGCCTGCCGCAGGAAGTGCCATTGCTGTTGGAAGTGATCTACTATGTCCAGCCTCATTCCAAGCGGTAGATTGGGGTGGTCATTTCTGTTCATCTCCAGCCACCGCCTTAGATTGAGGTGAGCACTTCTGTCTAGCTTCGGGATTGGTTTTTTGTTTTTGTTGTTTCTGTTTTTGTGTTTTTTCTTCATGTGTGTTCCCACGAGTAACACGCGAAGAGTTGGTCACCTCTGGCAGAGCCCCGCATTACATAGGTAGGCTGATTACAATGAGGTTTCACCCAGTTTCTCGAGAGGATCGTTCGTGACCGCATATCACCTGCGGCCATTCAGCTGTCGGCACATTTCCTCACACCTTAGCTTGGGTAGGCTGGTCCACGGTGGCATGTTTTGCAAAGACTTTTGGGGGGTTTTCGTCCCCCTCACCCTAGTTATTTCTGCCACTGACCAGGAGTCCGGCGACCCCGTCCGTAAAGCCACATTGGCTTCCCGGACAGGGCCTCCAGTCCCCTGGTCATTCCCCTATCCGCCACCTGTGGACGCGTCCGATAAGTAGCCCAATCCACGGGCTACAAAAGTGGTATTAAAACATTAGAGCGGCGCTGGAATGATTGTAAGGCACTTCATTGAGATTACGTTGATGAATAAATCCAATTTTAAACAAAAAACGCGTTTTCTTTATTAGGCCTGGGACTTTTCAGCCAACGTAGTACAATGTTATGTAGAATTTCTGTGTGATTCTTGTTTCATTTCATTTAGGACATACGAAAGTGTTCATAATTGATATGCAGTTATTTTGCATAGATTTTTTGCATGTGTCGTATATTTTCCAAAGCGAGGTTTTCCAGTTTCTATTTCTATTGATGGGCTAGTAGGAGTACACAATAAGACAATACATAAATCAATGGTTAAACTGCGACCTCTGGCTAAATCGAAAACAAATACTCTTCTCGAATACCAGAACTGCAACACTCTTCTCGACCAATGAAGTAATCTCATCTTCTGAAAACGCCAACACCAGTTCTGGTGTTAGGGGGAAAGTGCTTGTTTCTGAATACAATACTGTTCAAGAAGGTGCATTTTCATCACAACATACGATGGGTTCTCTGAATGAAAAAGGGTTAGTTTGAAAATGGGTCTTTATTGTCATCAATTCATTGGGTATTCATTAAACAGAGTGGATTCTTAGGAAACAATGCAGGCAGAGACACTATTGAGTACTTCGTAACCTTGTTGTACATGCTGTGCCAGGTTGGGAGTGACGCATTTTGGAACAAAATCTTTGGCCACTTTGACAGCGTCTTTAATCGTTTCAACAATTTTCAAAAGGATATCAGCATGGACATTATCGGAGATGACTTTAATCACGTTACCGGCAACCTGTAAAAAAATCAAAAGTGAGTGGGAAGTGAATTGACCAATCATGTATTACGAGTACTGAGAAGATATGTAAAAGTTCATACGATTCCTAAAATGGTCAACAAATCATAATTAGATGATTATAACTTCCTTGTACCAGAAAATGTTCTGTCGGGAAGTTTTGTATTGAATGAAATAATATCAACACAAAAAGTCAATCCACCAAAATGCCTATTTTTAACATTAACACGCTTTTATTAGCTTCACCTGTATGTATGTATGTATGTTTGTTTGTCTGTTTGTAACTCTGAAGTTCAGAATCTGTGTTTGACAGAATGCTTGATCTATTCGCGGGCAGATGGCGCTGTACGTAACTTCTTTGAAATATCTACATTATTGCTTGATCTATTCGCGGGCAGATGGCTCTGTACATTACCTCCTTGATATAATTCTAACTCGCTTCACATGTACTTCTTCACTTGAAAAAAGTATTTTTTTATTAACACGCGCGTTTTGTGCCATAATTTTTGTATATCAAGCGCCCGTCGCTTTTTTCACATTAATAATAGTATTTTTCGTTCGTTATTGTTTTGAGCTTATTTAAAACAAATATCTTTAACTTTTTACTTCGATGTTTCAAAAGGGTATTTTTTAGTTTATTAAACTATATTTATTTCAACTTGATACAACTGGCGCCCAAGAATTGGGAGTGCCATAGCGCGAATCTTTTTCTAAAATCAGCAGAAAAAGGTCATACGATGAAAAATCAAAATAAAATTATGGTATTCAAAAATAGAGATCTTGATCAATAGATTTTTCAGTGTTGATGAGTATTTCATGAAAAGGTGTTTATTTCATTCATATAATTGTTGTGAATATACGTTTTTGAATTATTTGTGACGTTTCATGTATTCATATTCGGATTTGATACTTTTCAATGCTTCTTCTCAACCTATTATTCTATTCTCATATGAATGAACTAAACATGGAAACGAACTGAGAAAATAGCTTACATCCAATGCGCATTCGACTTCTTTTTCTCCAGAACACTTCTGAATTTCATTTGCAGCGGCGAAAACTTTTTCTTTGATGTCATTTATATTAATTTCCAAACCTGATAAATCTTTCAGTACTTGGTTTGCCAATGACAGGTCGCATTTTGTAATTGTATCAATGAAAACAAGTGCAACTTCCTTAGATTGGCTTCTGCTGGCTTCAATGCAGTTGATAACCTTGGCGGTGTTCTGGTCTCCTCCTGAAAAAACATTCGAAAGGATACAATGTAGTACAAAGCATCACGGAATATTTGTTTTACTGTCAAGAGAAAAATTGATTGATAGTTGCTTTTGGGATAGAATTGTTTCAGAACCTGAGAGAGTGTTCTGTAAAGTTTCCGACCAAACAAAGATACAAGACATTTTTCAGAGTTTTTTTCATTTTTTGCTCTGCAAATAATTGTTCAAGAAGGTGGTTTTCTTTTCATTTGACGAAAATCTCTGTCCTCCGAGCGCAATTTTCAGATGAAGGAACAGAAAGAAGTCGCTTGGGACTAGATCTGGTCAGTGAGGCGAATTGCCAAGCAGCTCAAATCGTAATTTGTGGATTTTTGTAATAGCATTCGCTGAGGTGTGAGACGGTACGTTGTCTTGGTGAAACAGGATTTGGTGAACTTTGGCGATGTTTTCGTCGGTAGTTGCAGCTTTTAGACATTTCGAACGTTAAGGTCATGTTTAAATTCAGCTACCCAAAATTTCACTGTCTGAATAAATGACGATGCAGAGTCCCCATACACAGAATCCATCTCATCTTTGATTTGAGTAGGTGTATTGCCTTTCAAAACGGATATTTACTGACAGCTCGATACTCAATTTTGTCCATTTTCATGAAAACACCCACATCGAGTCACTCAAACGACTATTACGTAACAACTGCGCGTCCAGAATGGCTGAAACTTTGGTGAGTGACTGTCGACAGATGAACAGTGAAACGCACTAGTTTTTATTTACAAGTGCTGCTGAAATCATGTTGAGGTCAAGATGTGCTTTTCAATAGAAAAAAGTTTTTATATTATAAATCATACAGCATAAAGAATACTTAAAATATTGAATAACGAACAAACTACGTCTCTGAAATATCTTCATAATCGAGTTTTCAAGGAGAAACTGGACCACATTATTTTCATCATTTTCCTGAATCACTCATAAATTCTATACTCACTGAAAAGCTCCAAATATCGACAGCTTTATATGCATATTTATTTATGAAACTAGCTGTGCTATTAAAAAAATATTCATTGTTTTCATTTTCAAATCACCGCTTTTATCTAATGGTGTCAGTGTTTCTGAAACAGTCCAAATTGACATTTTCTCGGAAACTCATCTGAAACAAACTTCTGTGCACAATCTTCAAAAATTTCTAAAAATGTAGTTTCCGAATTAATTGTTTTTTCCGTTTTTTGTGAGTTCCCAACATTTTTCATGTGTGGGGAGCCAAGATTTTTTCCTACAACTAATCCCTCCTAAAAAATATTTTACTTTCAATTCAAACGAAATTCTCACGCCTGGGATTGAATTGAATAATCACATAATTTTTTGTTCAGTTTTATAATTCTAAAGATGAATATCTTATTATTTGAGGTAATCTGTTCATCTTATTTCATCAAACTGATGCTTTCGTACGATGCTGAAACTTTCCAGCACTGATACGGAAAGAAAATCTTTTTTTTTGAAAAACATATTGAAGATTCCTTCTAACATTGAAACAGGTTCATTGGCATATTTTTCAAATGCAATAAAAGGACCGGATCAGTGACTTTGTTAATGTTTTTCCTGTGAAATATTTTAAATATGATTACTATCCGACCGAAAGTTCGGTTTCGGGTTCGGTCGAGTTTCGGCAAAAAACTGGTTTCGGTTAGTTTCAGTTTCGGCGGCAAACCTGCTGAAACTACTACCGAAACTGAAACTGACTTCGGGAGTTCCCGCGCTGTGAATTTTATAAAAGCGACGAAGACATTTTGCCGCGTCCACGTGCCTAATCATGTCGTGAATCACTTTGTGATTTACTTTGTTTATTACATAAATATCAAGTACCTATTGTGATATTAAGTAACAATTTAAATAAGTAATTTTATTTTCGTTGAATAGTAATTTTATGTTTACTATTTTTGAAAGACCATCAATAATATTCAAAAGAAGGATCTACACCTACTCAAATAAATACCTCACCTATTTCAAGTATTTTTAGGATGCAATTAATATATTTTTTTAACAAGGGTTCATTATGTTGATTATCAATAAGTAAAAATGTCGTAGACTGCATAACGTTGTGATATAAAGACAAAAAAATAAAGACTGACTGATTTTAATAACGTTTTCTTAATTTTCCCCTCAAAACATAATCCTTGTAAGGAAGTTTCGGTTTCGGCCGAAACTGAGACCGTTACGTTTTCGGTTTCGGTCGTAAAAACCAGTTCCGGTCGGACACTAAATGTGATTTCAAAGGAAAGAAAATTTGCTGGAAACACCAGTGAAGATGATATTGTGTCATGTAGGTGTATTTCTCCCCTTCATTTACTATAATGTGTAGCAATCCTGCGATAGATTTCTGATTCAAGTCCATAACTAATGTTTGGAATACAAACCGAATAAAAAAAAGTGTTTTTTGCCTAATTCAGTATTCATATAAAAGAATATGTTTCGGAAGTGTTTTTCTTTCGTGTGATTTAATGGTTACATATGGAAGTAGTTGTTTCCGAAGTGCTTTTTTTTAGTTTGTGTCTGAAAGTTACTTTTTTTCAAGAACAAAACACAAGTATTACAATACCGTGTTAGAAAAAGGTAAGACCTCGTTAGTTCTTACCTCGCAAAGGTTTCCCAACTTCTGAGAGTTGTCGTTCGTATGGGGGCGACAGTTGATTAATGGAAAAACATTTTTTAAACAGATTTTTTCTTTAATCCATAAGCCGCTCTAAAAGCGGTGCCAGTGCGAAAGTAGCGATTCACGTTGGATTCGAATCGCTGGAGAATGAATCCATTTGGAAAAAGTTCATTGCACATAAACGCAGTTCTCCAAATGAAAGAGTTTTCAAACAATGATGTTTGAGGTTTACTGAGTTGAACCAAGTCACTTGAACACTTCTAGTGAAAGTATTCATAGAAGAGAGGCATATCTCCAACCTTCCTTTGATGTTCCAGAATATCAAGGTTGCAAGTGATGTTCAAGTCTTCAATGAGGCGGATGGCTCTCTTATGGATGGAATTCAGAGCGGCGGAGCTCTATACATGATTACAATACTCCAAAGCTCTGATATGGGCTTTATGAAGCATCAAAAGTTGCTGAGGTGTGTACAGTTTTCTGGTTCAGAACAGTGTTCTAAGCTTTTGAGAAGCATCCTTTGCGATACCAGCGACATGATTGTGTCAAGACATATTGGTGTCCATTTCAACCCGCAACAAACTCATTGAAGCGGAAAGCGGAATTGTCTGTCTTTGCTTCCGATATATCACTATTGCAATTGTATCATTATTTGAAATTAATTTTTTTTGGAACTTACCTGCCTTGATCTTATCCAATCTTGAGTTCAGTAAATCAAGACTTTTGTCAAGAGCTTTTCCAGCAAAAACGACGATGTCTTTTTGGAATTTATTTGCGTCTTTAACAGCATCATTGATAAGTAATTCAAACTCATTGAAGGCAGCATCAACATCTTTTTTTACTTCAGGTACCAGCCATTTCAGAAAATCGACAAAAGGACCCTTAACTGCAGGTTGAGGATGAGCCTGAGTCTGAAAATACAATAAATCTTGAGTATATATTGTTAGAATGGTGAGTTGCCCGAATTATTAAAAATGAGTACCATTATACCCATGCCTAAAGTTACAAACACTATAAAAGCAAGTGAATTTAGACCTATTAATACCTTACCACCAATAGAGAAAGTTTTAGAAATAGCAGTATATAATCAATTATTACAGTTTATTTAGCAATCTGGTTTTCGAAAAAAAACATTCTTCCAAAACAGCACTACAGTTATCATTAACTGAATTTACTAATGGAACAGATAAAGGTAAATATGTTGTAGCTGTCTTTTTAGATTTCAAAAGGGCCTTTGAAACGATTGATAGAAGTATTTTGCTTCAGGAGCTGAGAAGATATGGGATTGATGGGATGGTTTATGAATGGATAAGTAATTATTTATCAAATAGGAAACAGAGAGTACGTGTGAACGATTATTTCTCATCACATATAACAAATCACACAGGAGTGCCACAAGGTAGTGTGCTTGGTTCCCTATTATTCATTTTGTATTTGAATGATATTCAATTATTTACAGACTGTGAGTTCATCAACTTATTTGCAGATGATACCTTATTGGCCTGTACTGGAGTAAATTTAGAAGAAACTGTTGGCAGAATGAATGAAGTTCTAGAGAAAGTAGAAAAATATCTAAAAACCAATAAAATGAAACTTAACTTCAAAAAAACAAAATCAATGACAATTACTACTAAATTCGAATAAGTATAATCAAATAAATACGAACAACATAAATATAAAAATTGAAGATGAACGTGAAGTGAAGTATTTGGGTGAAGTATTTGGGATTTCAACTTGATAATTGCTCATCATTCGACGACCACTTCAAATATATTGAAGAAAAGATTGCAAAAAAATTATATTTTTTCTCAATTTGAAAAATTCCTTTTTTGTTCAGTTAAAATTATGTACGTATATTTTATATTGTATTATTATTCATTGTATATCTTATTGAAAACAGATATTGCATGAAGTTACTCAATGAAAGGTCAAAATAAATGAAATTTGCGTTATATATCACCAAAGATTGATAGCTTTTTCTAAATTTTGTAGAAAAATGCATGTTTGATATTTATTTGAATGAAATGTTTTTGAATGAAGCATTGCCCAAACTAAGACATTTGATTATAACTTGTTTCGACTCTTATGTCAAAATATTGATACAAAATCATCTCGTATATATGTTAAAAATTGCATCCAGCAAGAATTTTTTTCGAAAATGTCCAGAAATGACTCCAGTTTTGGATTTGAAAAAAAATGACACATAAGACTAGCCACACACTTGTCTATAACGAAACACATGTCGTTATTTTGTAAACTGTCCAGTGAAAATCTTGGTGAAGAGTTTAATATGTCATGGATTTCCATCAAGTATCAGCTAATTCCATCGCATATTTTTCAAACTAACTATCAATCAGTTTATGAAACTGGCCATCTATAAGCATTGTCCTAATCAATGAATGGATATAGAATTACGTTTATTTTGTTTGTTTCTCAAAACAAGAACATAAACTCATGTCGTCCCGATGGAATTCATTTTGAAGCTGATGTTCAAAAATCGTTCAGTATGTGCTTGTAACAAAATAGGTATATTTCTCGCAACTAGATTATTCAGTCAATGAGAAGTTACTAATGAATGTGTAGTAGTCTACAGCCTAATTCAAATCAAACGGCTTCGACCTCTTTGAAAATAATTTTTTTGAGGATTATTTTGAAATTCATTAGTTGTGACTTCCCTTGTCTAATATTATATAAAATGATTTGAAATCCCTAAAGAGAAATGAGAAATTAAAAACATAAGTTGAAAATTACAATTATATTAAGCAGAAAAAAACCTGAAATAAAATTACAGTAGAATCAAATACAAGTTAAAAATAGAAGAAGAATCAAACAAAAAATAAAAAATAAAAGGAAAAATAGATCAATTGAACAAAAAATAAAAATTAAGAGATTCCAAGCCGTTACTTCACGACGTTTCGATTGTTAGTATGCAAAATCGTCTTCGGGTGATTACAGGGTTTTATTTGTATTTTAATTTTTCATTTGCATTGGTTTTTGCAGGGATTTCAAATCATTTTATATAATATTATACAATGGAAGTCCGAACTGATGAAATTCATCATGAAACATTGTCTATCCCCTTCAAACAATGAATCATTTTGTTGAGGTATCTCTAATAAAAACAAAAGTTTACTTAACTCCTATATAACTGTTTTAATAAAAGACATTTTGAACATTGTTTAAAAAAATGGCAGGACAAAAATACTCCAATGATCACTATGCAGTTTATTACTTTCTATAGTATGAAAACTACGAATCGACTATCATACGTATATTACGAATATTCTACTTGTTTTTTTATTCATCAATGAAAAATATATCAACTATCAACTGCTTTCATTGATTTCTTCACAGAATAAAGAATAGACAACCAATTGAAAGAGTTCGGAAGGACAATCTGAATGCAATACATGCAAATATAAGGAAAGAATATGAAAACATCTAATAAACTACTTTTATCCTCAAAAAATCTACTAAATGAGTGGAAACCGAGATTTATGAGAAAAGAAGACCAGTACTTGAAGGTTAGAAGTGCAATGATAAAACTATGAGTCATATCTTGATATTGTTATGAAAAAAAAACTTACTTGGGCAACCAGAAGGGTACAAGCAACAACGATGAATTTCAAAGAAACCATTTTGTCTACGGTGCAGAGCAAACCTGAATACAGTGATCCGTTTATTGCTTAATATTTATACCATTCTCTCAAGATGCAAGAGTAATAGGTCAAGTGGAAAATACTTACTCGTTATCACCTGATACATTGTTCTTGCTATTGTAGAATTTTATCACGATAGTCTTTTTTTTCACACCTTATCAATCGAAGATTATAGAACGCTGATGCATGGCAACTTCAAAGACTTATTATTCATTTGCATTGACAGTCAACTGTGATTATTAGTTTTATTCGAATATATCAGATTCAGTGTAATAACATTTGGGCTCAGAAATCACGGGCCTTAGAAAGGAAATGCGTTTTTCTGTTCAAAATTGGCTTCATTCATCAACGTAATCTCCATCAAGAGCCACACAAACATTCTACCATTTCAATACTACTTTTGTAGAACGATTTATCTTTTGCCTCAGAATAGGCCTCAGTTTTATCAATAACCTGTTCATTCAAGCAAATTTCTAACCGATGGGCATTTTTTTGAGGTCTACGAACAGGAAAAAGTTGCAGGAGGCCAGATTTATAGAATACGGTGGATGGGGAAGCAATTCAAAGCCCAATTCATACAATTTTGTCATTGTTTTGATTAACTTGTGAAACGGTGCGTCGTCTTGATGAAACAATTTATGTTCTTTGCCATATGAGGTCGTTTCTTTCCAATTTCGCTCATATTATACTGTATAATATTCATGATAGTCGGTGAATATTACACCACGCACATCCCAAAATACCTTTCCAGCCGATTGTTGTGCTTTCGGGCGCTTTGGACGACCTTCACCAGTTGCTCTCTACTCAAATGACTATCATTTTGATTCCGAAGTGAAGTGATGAATTCATGTTTCATCTATTGTCACACATCGACGCAAAAATTTCGGTTTGTTATGTTTAAACATGGCCAAACACTGCTCATCAAGACGTTCTTGTTTTTTGGTCAACAGTGAGCTCGCGCGTCACCCACTTTGAACAGAACTTTCTCATAGTCAAATGCCCATGCAATATAAAGCCAACACGTTCTTTTGATATCTTCATAATGTCAGCTAACTCACGCAACTCCACTTTTCGATCATTCAAAACGATTTCAAGTATTTTTTTATGTTTTCTGGTGTTACTGCCTCATTTGGTCGTCCACTGCATTCTGCGTTCTGCGATATATCTACCACCACATTTGAAGTCGTCAAACCAACGTTCAATTGTGTTTTCTAATAAAGCGGAGTCCTTATAACATTTTTCCATTGCCCTGAAAAACCCTTTCCCGCACACAAAAATTGAAGTACTGTTGGATCTCAATCCCAAACTCAATTTATTGAGTCCTGAATAAAAAAAAATGTGTTTCAGCAATATGTCGTTAATTGAAAGAAGTAGACGTGGACATTTTAGAAAATGGAAAACAATAAGTCAAAAATATTTCGAGAATAGCAGATAATATAAAATATTTTTTAATGAAAAATGACTTTATAGTTTTTCGAAATATTCCTCTTGATGATCAATATACTTTTGCATTCGTTCAAACCATTTGTCAAAGCAGTTTTTCCATTCCTCTTCAGACACCTCCAAAACATGGTTTTTGAACGCTTCAACTGCTTCTTTGGCGCTCGTAAATCGTTGACCACGCAGTTTACTTTTGAGTGCCATAACCATTGAGTGAATCAGAACTGTACAAAGGAAGTCATCAATTCGATGTTTCGATTGCTCAAAAATTCACCAGTTTGATGTGAGAGCTCGCCGTCTTCGGCGGTTAGTTTAACGAATTTCTCCAAAGACTTCCGACAAACAAATGATTGTGTACCACTCAGAATTGACCGTTCTACGTTGCTCAAGCAGAACAGTGGCCACATGACCCATTCGGCTGAAGAAACAGGTGACCATTTGCTTCGCTGTGCTTCTTCCACGAACAACTTTTTTTGGGTTTAGCTCGTCTTGGAATACGGTCGATTGTTGCTTTTTTTACGGCTCATACGCATATATCCAAGATTTTTCACATGTTTCGATTTTATACATTTCTTTTGAAGAACCATGGTCGAACTTTTTGATCATTTCCTCACATCACTTTACGCGAGCCTTTTCTTGAGCGATGGATAAATTGTGGAGTATCCAAAGAGAACACATATTTTCACAACTAAGTGTTCATGCAAAATCGAATGTATTGAAGTGGAAGTAATACGCAAGGACTGAGGAGTTCTTGGTATAGGTAGAGGTAGAGGTAGAGGTAGAGGTAGAGGTAGAGGTACCTCCCAATATGTCACATGACAATCTTGCATTTTCAGTTCACGCACTGCATCGATGTTTTTTCGCACAACAACCGATTTTGGACGACCTTCACGGCAATCATCAGCGACCGAACTACGACCACCCTTGAATACACTAAATCAGCGATCTACTGTGGTTTTTGATGGTCCTTCATCGCCATATGAAGGACTGAGTACATCGACAAATTCTTGTTGAGATAATCCACGTCAAAAGTTGTGGAAAAGAATCTAACAAAAATCTTCTCTTGAAGAGTTTTCGTTGGTTTCCGGGTTTTGCCGTGGTTTTCTTTGGATATAATGTCTAAACGTTTCAACTGCAACTGCTGCAGTCATCTTCAGTGGCGCGGTCGAAATACGTGTCAACTGTTGACACGTGTCAACAGTTGACACGTCAAGAAGAGTACTTCGACCAAGCCACCGAAAATGACTGCCGCAGTTGCAGTTAAAACGTTCGTAGATTATAAACAAAGAAGACCTCGGCAAAACCCGGAAACCTACCAAAACATTGACCCATCAGTGAAAGTCTACATTCCTACTTTTCTTTTGGAAAACCTATATTTGAAACTAATTAATACAGTTTTTTGTATGAATTTCACTATAAAGGGTTTTACAAAAACCGCGACACGTGTTTCGCTACACAATAGCTTTCTCAAGTGTGAACTGAAAGTTACTTCTAAATTACAACCATTTTATACTTTCACCTATTACCTACTCATATACCTAGTTTCTATTGAATGAATCTACCTGAAAAGGTCAGGTATAATTGAAAGTATCTTAAATATACCTAACTATTTTTACATGGAAATGAACAGATTCAATACTGGCGAATTATTCAATTCAGTTTAATCTTTCATAAGATATTGAGAGTTTTTGAATTTGTTCATTTCCATACTTTCCAACAGGTTAAGTTTCAAACCTTTCTTCTGGAAATGGAGGGGTTTGTATTCATGGTTGAACTCATGTCCCTCTGTGATTGAATGAGTGGCATATGTGGAATTTATTTTTCCATTCTGGAAACTATGTTTGTGTTCTTTTTTGCGGGCTTTGAACGTTATTCCAGTTTGACCTATATAAAACATCGGACATGACCCACATGATAATTTATACATTCCCGATTTTTTTGAAACTGAACTCGTCGTTGTTGGTTTTGAAAGCAATATTTACAACTTTGCTGTGCAGAAAATTTGAAATATTTGTAGTGGGTTGGCCTAAGTAGGTTGAGGTTCTATAACTTTTATCCTCTTCTCTTTGAATAGGGTAAACTTCCTCACGGTGTGTTTGTCACGGAATTACTTCCAATTCAATGAAACTTTTTACTCATCCTGCAAAAGTCTCATAATGGGAAGCCCGCTTATTCTTATTCTGGCAGAGATTTTCATGGACAATTTGGAGAGAAAAAAATACACAGTAAACCACTGGAAAGAAGTTTCGTGTATTGGTATAGATATATGGATGATATCCTGGTATGTTTCACAGGAACGAACAGACAGTTGTCTAATTTTTTGAATTTCATCAATTCTCTCCATCCTTCTATCACATTCAAAAAGGAGATTGAAAAGGACGACTCTATACATTTTTTGGACTTGACAATAACAAAAGTTAACAACAAACATGATTTTTCAATTTATCGTAAACCGGCACATACAGATATTATCATTCTTAATTCGTCCACCCACCCATATCAGCACAAAGTAGCAGCTTTTAACGATATGATCCACAAACTGATAGATGTGCCCTTGCCAGAGGCGAATTTCAATAGAGGACTGAACATAATAAAACAAATAGCCGTCATCATTGATTACGATAGCAGTCTAATACAATCCTTATTATCAAAAAAGTTATACAGCCAAGCTTTGAAGGAAGTTTACCCAAATCAATTTTTTTATTTCTTTGCGACAATATAAAATTGTATAAGAACAGTCAGGTAGAACCTTAACCTACTTAGGCCAACCCACTACAAATATATCAGATTTTCTGCACAGAAAAGGTGTAAATATTGCTTTTAAAACCAACAACAACTCAGGCATGCACATTAAGACAAACGAAGTTAAAAGTTCAGTTGCAGAAGAATCGGGAGAGTATAAATTATCATGTGGGTCATGTCCAATGTTTTATATAGGTCAAATTGGAAGAACGTTCAAAGCCCGCATAAAGAAATACAAATATAGTTTTCAGAATGGAAAAATAAATTCCACATATGCCACTCATTTAATCATACAGGGACATGAGTTCAACCATGAATACAAGCCCCTCCATTTATAGAAGAAAGTTTTGAAACTCAACCTGTTGGGGAGTATTCAATATAAAATTGTATAAGAACAGTCAGGTAGAACCTTAACCTACTTAGGCCAACCCACTACAAATATTTCAGATTTTCTGCACAGAAAAGGTGTAAATATTGCTTTCAAAACCAACAACAATTCAGGCATGCACATTTAGACAAACGAAGTTAAAAGTTCAGTTGCAGAAGAATCGGGAGTGTATAAATTATCATGTGGGTCATGTCCAATATTTTATATAGGTCAAATTGGAAGAACGTTCAAAGCCCGCATAAAGAAACACAAATATAGTTTTCAGAATGGAAAAATAAATTCCACATATGCCACTCATTTAATCATACAGGGACATGAGTTCAACCAAGAATACAAGCCCCTCCATTTATAGAAGAAAGTTTTGAAACTCAACCTGTTGGGGAGTATAGAAATGAAAAAATCCGAAAACTCTCCATTATTGAATCTGTTCATTTCCATTTCATAACTTTTAGTTTACGCTTGAGGA